GGAGAGGGAGAGAGAGAGAGAGAGAGAGAGAGAGAGAGAGAGAGAGAGAGAGAGAGAGAGAGAGAGAGAGAGAGAGAAAGAGAGAGAGAGAGAACGAGAGAGAGAGAGAAAGAAAAGCAAAAAACAGGAAACCAACAAACACACGCAGACAAAAAGCAAACCGAAGAGACAAAATTCACGCCCGAGATAACACACAAAAAAAAGAGAAAAAAGAAAAAGAACATGAAAAAAGATCTTCAACCTCCGCCTTGAATTCAGCTCAAAATCCGCCAAAAGCGAAAGTCATGAAACCCAAGCAGAAAACTTTTTTTTTTTTTTTTTCTCTCTCTCTCTCTTTTTTTTTCTCCCTGAAGTCTTTCTAAAACTACCTCTCGTGCGTGCCATGATTCAGGAAAAATAACTTTGGGAAACCTGCAATATATATTACTACTCTGAAATGTATGTGGCGTAGATTTTATCAGTTAAGATCTCTCTTTTTTTTTTCTTCTTTTTTACTTACGTACGACATGTTAAAAAAGAATGCAGCAAAAGATACAACCACGGCGAGTAACAAGCTAAAATATGAAACACAAAAAAAAAAAAAAAAAGTGAAAAAGCCCCAGATAATGAGTATAACAAAGAAAAAAAAGAGAAAAAGATAATCAAAACACAAACAAGACCACGATAAATAGTATATAAAAAAGGGCCAGACACTCAAATGCATTTCCTGAAAATCGCGGCGGAGGGAGAAATGGCGGTCGCCAGCCTGGTGCCTCGTAGAGGTTACGGGCGTAAAAATTAATTAAAATTTCCTATAGCGGCGCTTCTAAGAGCCTAGCCATTGCCATTTTCTTTAATGGGATGGCTCTTTTTTTATAATTATTTTCTTAATCTCATTACCTTCGGCCATAAATGTTAAGTGTTCATATCGTTACCCTCCGTTCCTAAGCGGTCTATGATATTCGGGGAACATTAGCATTGGCCGCGGCAAAATCTATGTAAATCTCTTGTCATATTTGATTTTAGTTCATAAATGTGTTTATCTATTAGGATATAGATATGAATTTGATCTTTAAAATAATCGAAAAAATTAACTCTAACTCTAACGTGTCTAACTTTAAAAGAAATATACATATTTATATATATTTCTACAAGCGTGTTTCTTCATAAAGACGATTTATTGAAATGCTCATTAGCTGGTGATAATTCCAGTATTTGGCGCCATCTGTGTCGGGGTGCAAAGCAATCGCTTAAACAGTAATATCCATTGAAATTACATCTATTTTTCCTTCACCTGAACCATTTCTCTGCTCGTACTGTGAGAGAAATTTAAAGCAGGACTATCTATCAACTCCATCTACCGAACTATTTTTTATTCTAAACGCTAAGTTCGACACATGGCTCGCGAAGGCACGTAGTAACAGGCACGGGTCTAAGGACGGGGGGAGGGGGGAAGGAGGAGGTAGGGAGGGGGAAGGAGGAGGGAGGGAGGGGGAAGAAGGAGGGAGGGAGGGGGAAGGAGGAGGGAGGGAGGGGGAAGGAGGAGGGAGGGAGGGGGAAGGAGGGGGAAGGAGGGAGGGAGGGAGGGAGATGAGGGGGGAGGGAGGGGTTCTTTAGGGATATAGATCTTCATCAATCCCCCCCTCCCCCCTTC